AGTCACATGTATGGTGGGGAGTTTGTTGTAGATCTTGCAGCAATGTCTTGTAGTTGTAGGAGATGGGATTTATGTGGCATACCTTGTGCACATGCTCTTTCAGCTATATTCCACAGAGATGAAAACCCTGTTGAATATGTACATGAGTGTTATAAGCCAGAGACATACATGAGGTCATACAAACCAATAGTTCACCCCATCCCTTCTATGGATCAGTGGGTTAAGGGTGGCTTGCCTCCAATTAGACCTCCATTTCATAAGAGTCAACCAGGAAGACCCAAGAGAGTGAGGACCAAGGAGGCTGCTGAGGTTCAATTACCAGCCCCAAACCCACCAAACCCTTTGCCTCCAGGTTACACTACTCCAGCAACAAAACTTAGAAGACTCTTCATTAAAATTAGATGTGGAGCATGTGGAAAAGAAGACCACAATCGAAGAGGATGTGGAAGACAGGTTGTTTAATAAAAAAGGGTTTTGTTATGCATTTTAATTATTTGGGTTGTGGTCAGCTGTGGTTGTGATTTTGTATAGCTGTGCTTGTATGTTGTGCAGGCTGAGGCAGCCCAAAATGGGAATGTTGGCCAAAATGAAGTTCAAGCAGCTGATAATGGAAATGCAGGCCAAAATGATATTGCCCCAGCCCAAATTGACACTGCCCCAGTCCAAACTGACACTACCCCAACCCAAACTGAAACTAATGCTGCCCTAGCCCAAATTGAAGTTATTAGGCGCAGAGGAAGAGGAAGAGGAAGAGGCTTATGGAATCCAGCTGCAAGGATGTCATCTTCACAACCAGTTAGTTGCCTATTATTCTGGCCCAACTCAGATTTTTTATGTTTGCCTATATAGTAATATATTTTGTTTGTGGTTTTTATCTTAGGTGGTAAGTGATATCAGTCAAGGAAGGGCCAATCTGCCAATGACATACTCACAACAAGTGCCCTTGCAACCATCATCCTCTTCACTTACTCAACAAACCACACCCCATAGAGGAAGATTCAAATACAGTGTCAAAAGAGGAGGACAAGTATAGACTGTGAAGACATATTTTGTGGACTTTTAAGACCTATTTTTGGACTCTTACGTACTTACTATATGGATGTGTATTTTGGGTGAAAAATTATAGACTCAAGTATGCTATTTGGTAATGTTATTTTGAAGGCTCTTTTGCCTATTCTATGTAATGTTCAGGTGTATTTTGGATTGTATGTAATGTGCAGTTGGTGAATGTTAATTGGTAATTGAAGCCTTTTGGATTGGATGTAATGTGCCCCTGTTCATTTGGTATACACTGCCAATTCAGCACAAAATCAGCTTATATAGAAAAACATTTTATACACTGCCAAAGAGGCACAAAATAACCTTATGCCCAGGTTTTTGCCCATTTCTACACTATGCCCATGCCATCAAAAGCTGTTCAAGAGTATATACAACATTATGCCCATTTTCTGCCATTTCTACACTACCAAATCATCCATATTGATGAACAATATCACAATCATTAAACACAACAGAACAACAACCCAGAACCACCTTTGTCTTTGTCGATAACTCAAAATTTCCCCTTCTAGTACAACAACTTGTTGACCCATTCCCAGATTTTGTTTTTTCAAAATCTTGATTTCTTCTTCCTCTTCTCTCAGTTTTTGCTCTAATTTATTCTTCTCTTCTTCCATCAATATGAAATTCTCTGTCGTTGCTCTCAATTCGTCCTCCATTCCTCTTACTCTTCTAAGTAACCCAGGCAAGATTTCCTTTCCTCGTGGGCATGTTTCATTCTCCACCCATTTGAAAAAATGCAACCCCCTCTTACTATTCTGCAATTCAAACAAAACGAAACACCAATTTCAGACCCAAAAAACCACCAATTTCATTCTCCAACCGTGCAAAAAAACGAAACACCAATTAACCCTTATGCAATTCAAACAAAAACTTACCCGATTATTGCAACATGCCTCAAATCTTCTTCCAGGATTTAGATCTGTCCATGAAGTCCGGCGTTTGATTTCCGACCCACACTCGCAGTAACGACGGCTGCAATTTGAATCTGTCGAACTCTCCGACATTTTTCCTTCCCTCACAGCCCCTTCTCAGTTCTTCAGTTCTTTAGTCTTCATTTGGGGGTCAAAGCCAAGGGTTTAAGGCGAGGATGGCTAATCGAAGGAGAGTCTTCAGACTCGAAAGGACGTTTTTACCCCTCATTTTGACGGACAAATTGACAGAGTTGGACGGCAGGACCTAATTGCAACTGATTGTCTAATTAAAGGATGTTATTGCCACAAAAATTAGTTCGCGGACCCAATTGCAACTGGGGCCATAGTTCACGGACGTCTACAGTAATTAACCCTTATAATAATAAAAAAAATATCATAAATAACTAGCCCCTTGGCAAAGAGAATCCAACAAAAAGAAAAAGAAAAGAAGTTGTGTCTGTATCCCATGAAAATAGGACCCATGTTCTTATTTTTGTTTTTATTTTAAATTTAGGTAATATGAAAAACAAAAAGTTAATTTACTATATTATCCTTATTTAATGAAAATTTTAAATGCTTAATAAATTCATTAACTAAGGACAATTTTTAGTATTTTGAATGTTTTACCATTTTTTGAATTTTGCTTTATCTATATATATATATAAAGCAAAAGGCAGAAAATGGTAAAACATTCAAAATACCAGAAAATGCCCTTGGTTAATGCAAACATTAAGAATTGAAATTATTAATTAAATGAGGATAATATGGTAAATTCACACTTTTTTATATTAAAAAAATTTTAAATTAAAAGAAAATTCAGATAATGGATCTTATTTTTATGGAACACAACTACCCCATCATTTTTTTTAATTCTAAAATAAATTTAAATTTTTTTCTAAAAAAAGCCTATCGCAAGCGCGGAAGCGCATGCAAAAAGATTAGTTTATATATATAAAGCAAAAGGCAGAGAATGGTGAAACATTCAAAATACCAAAAAATGCCTTTGGTTAATTCAAACATTAAGAATTGAAATTATTAATTAAATGAGGATAATATGGTAAATTCACTTTTTTTCATATTTTAAAAAAATAAAAATAAAAATAAAAATAAAATCAGATAATATGTCCTACTTTTATGAAATATAACTACCCATGTTATCTTTTCTTAATTCTAAAAATAAAATAAAAAATAAAAAATAAAACCAATTGGCACATGTGTGAGCGTGTGCTAAGGGGCTAGTATATATATATAGAATATAGATGAAGAATTTGACACAATGATAAGTTCGCCATGTGTAACCTCCACTTTGTTAATTTACTTAATTTGCTACAAGGACCCACTAGTGTATGTAGTGGTTTGGAGCAATTGCTCCCTCTAAACAAGGTCCTGGATTCGAGTCTTAGCATATTATCGCCCCTCCTAACAGTAAAGGTCCTACAAAAGGAAAAAAACCTTAATTTGCTTTGTTCTGGATAAATATCCAGCTTGTAAAGTTGTAACATCGAAATTTTTGCAAATGGTGGAAGTTGCAGTTCCTACCCGAGTTCATATCACGCCCTTTCTTTCTGTAAGCCCAAATCTTCCCATTTGTCGCAAAATAGTGGTGACAAAAGTAGCAAGGAAGATTTCTGGAGTTGTGGCATCTTCTTCTTCAACTTTGTCTACTTCATCTGGTTTTGGGTATAAACAAAAGGTTGATGATGGGCAAGTCCTGTTGCCAAAGAAGACAAGCAAAGAAAGGGTGTTCTTTTTAGACGTTAATCCTCTTTGTTATGAAGGAAGCAAACCCAGCTTACAATCTTTTGCTCATTGGGTCTCCTTGTTTTTTAATCAAGTTAGCCTCTCTGACCCTGTTATTGCTGTAAGTCCATCCTCTTTCCCACCCCACCATGTGTTCACTGAAATGTTTCACTGAGTTTTTTCCTTTGCCTTGATTATGAAATGAGTACTAGCTATAACTCACTCCAATAGACTACATTTAGTTTTAATTTTATATATTTGACTCCCATAAGCTGAATATGCTCTCTCTCTCTCTCCTAATAAGCGGAACTCAAAGGTTCCATCAGTATTTTTATGGCACCAATTACTCTGCCAGATTACTTTTGTGGTAGGAAATCTGAATTGGCTAAAACTCTACAGATGCTTCAGTAGTACATGGGCCACTTTCGTGATGCTTTACAGGGAAAGTTTTTAATGTCCTATTGAGTATTCACAACAAGCTTTTTGTGGTCAAATTTTAGATAGTTGTGTAAGTATATTCGCGTTATAAGCCACTTATGCAGAAGAAGCAGAACATACTGCCCTATTGTTTATAAGATAATAGGTGGCCGTGCCATTGTTTTACTCTACAGAGCTTAAGAATGATAAACACCAACAAAAGCATATTCTTTTCTATGCACGAATTCACCTATTTGCATGAAGGAAATAGTGATAAGCGTTGGACCCAAGGCTCCCAACAAAGATAATCTTTTATTTCATTTAAATCCTGGCCCTAATCACTGAAACATTTTAGTCCTGATTATAAACAGCATAGCCTTAGGCATTGCTTCATTAACATAGGTCTCTTGCATCTTAATTGCCTTGGTAGTCATGATTTTCAGTTGTTGATGGCTGAGATTCCAGGCAGTTGATCATCTTAACTGTCATTAAATCACAATTTATGCTGTACATGATGGTTGAACTCAGTAATGGTAATATATTTGCTTCTCTTATTTCTATAATGTGCATTTGCAGGTCGTTGATGGGGAAAGAGGAAGTGAGCACCGCAGACAGTTATTACCTTCATATAAAGCACATAGGTGGAAGTTCTTGAGACAGTTTTCAAAGGGGCATGTTGGAAGGTCACATGGAGTCATCACAAATGTTCTTAGAAAATGCAATGTGCCAGTGAGTTAACCTTTATTTTGGTAATGTCAAGTGTGTAATGAATCTTATCTAATTACAGAGGTGGAAGCATTCATCAAAACTGACTTCTTTTTTATTTATTTATTCGATAAGTACTAATTATGGGCAAAGATAATGAAACCATTGTCTATTAGCAAATCTAAGAAACTATTGAATATAAACCTAAAACCTTGGACCAAAGTTGGCTCTTAAAAAACTTATCAAATATTAGAAATTATAAAGGTATATATGCAAAGGTTACAAATATCAATTGATGATTAACACTACACCTTGCATGGATAAATCATGTTTTTTCAGAAGTTATCTATTTGTTTGTGAAAACTATTTGATAAACTGTTCAGGTTAAAGCCCTGTAGTTTTGGTTTTTCATTTTTCTTTTCCGGGAGATCTGGGAAGGAGTAGAAACTTTAAAACAGCTATAATATGTGAAAATAACAATGAGCCTTTGATAGTATGGGAGATCTGTTTCTTTCCTATTTATCAGCTTCATGTCGCTGCTTCTGTATTTTGTACTGATATCTTATGACAGAATATGGAATGAATACTTTCCTATATAAATACGACGTACTTTTAAACATGAATGGGTTAGGGTCTAGCTTTTTGATAAAAAATTTAGTAAACAGTTTGTTCTCTATTTTAAAATGGTTATCATTTTGACACATCGTTTCGGATGCCCTTCCAGATACTTGCTCGCATATTAGATTTTCTCCCAATAAAAGGGCTGTAGATGATAAATTCAAATGCTTGTTTTTTTTTTTTTTTTTTTTTGTTCTGTTAATAGAACATAAATTGATGCAGGTCATAAAAATAGAAGGCCATGAAGCTGACGATGTTATAGCCACACTTGTGGGGCAAGTTCTACAACCAGGATATCGGGTGGTAATTGCGTCTCCTGATAAAGATTTTAAGCAATTGCTTTCAGAAGATGTTCAACTTGTCATTCCCCTGGAAGAGTTGGAACGCTGGTCCTTTTACACCCTTAAGCACTACATGGCTCAGTATAATTGTGATCCGTGCTGTGATTTGAGCCTTAGTAAGTATGAAAAACAATGTGGTGGTATTTATAAGTCAGTTAATTGTGTTAGTGCTACATGTCTTTAATTAACATATATATTCAAATGGAAATTGTATTCAGTTTCGTTTCATGAGCCGGTATATGTTGATGCATCTTGGGATGTCATAGAGTGAGCACTGAGATTGTCAGATAATTTTACTGAAAGGATGAAACTTTGTACCATAATTGCACATGTATGTTTTGAAGAGCAGATGAATCACATATGCACTTAAAGAACACACAATGAGTATCAGATATATGTTTCACCGGTGGGTTTACTAGGCTGCATTTTGGTATGATAAACCAAGCGAGCCCCTCTTTATTTAATATGAGTTCGCCACCATAACATGTTTTGCATTTCTGTTCACTTAATGTCTAGGGTGCATTGTTGGTGATCAGGCTGATGGTGTTCCTGGGATCCAACATCTGGCTCCCGGTTTTGGTCAGAAGACTGCCCTAAAGCTCATAAAAAAGCATGGTTCATTGGAAAATCTACTAAAGACAGCTGCAGTCAGAACTGTGGGCAGACAGTATGCTCAAGATGCTCTTACAAAACATGCTGATTTCCTAAGGAGGAACTACGAGATTCTTTCCCTTAGGAGGTAATTTATGTGCTCTCATGTTATTAATTTTATTTTGATGTTACTTTTCCAGGGATAATGCTGTTATTCAGTCATCTTATTACCTTGCTCTATCGTGATCCTTAGTTCTTGATATTTCTGGGTCACACTGTTCTGCAGGGATGTCGATGTTCGACTTAGAGAGGAGTGGTTGGTTAAGAGAGACACAAGCAACGATTCAAGAACGTTGTCTAACTTCTTTAAATTCTTGGAAGAAACCCAAAAGTTCAGTCATTATAATGTATCTGTCTCAAATGGCTAAGGTAATCTTTTAGCTGTCTATATGACAAATAAGTTAGATGATTTTCGGTTTTTGTTATCATTTTTTTTGGGCTGGTTCAATTATACTTTTTGAGACCGTTCCTACATTTTTGGTCTTCATTTTAAATTAAAGGCATAGGTCTTTTAATTTTGGGAGATTCACTATTATACCCAATATAGGAAGCCCAAATTTAAAAAAAAAACTATATATGAAATGGACTTTAGAAACACACCCAAAGCCCATTTAGAACATAACAAAAAGGATTTTAATTTCTTTTAAATTACAAAACTGCCATTGATTTCTTAAAACACACCCAACCCTAAAACCTCATAAAAAAAGCCCAAAACACTCAATAGGGCATCAAAGTAATTTAATAATCAAAATTAAATTCAATAAGGTCAGCTGTCATTTTTTGAGTTTTATTTTGGGTTTGTTTATAGAAATTAAATGTTGTAGGGTTTGTTTATAGTTTTAGTGCTAAGAATGGGTATATGACTAAATATCTCTTAAATATTCGTATATATTTAAAGAGTACAACGGAGATACGCTTATTATTAATATAGCCGCTCGGCTATACTTTTAAAGTATATTAATATTTAAAGAGTTAACAGCATTGTAAAGTAGATTTTAATTAATTTTAATAAATATAATTGCAAAAATTTATTAAAAAATAATATTTAATTCACTGTCACAATTTTACGTTCATATGGTACTGATTTATGAACGATTGTGATAGAATTTTAAAAAAGAAAAAACAAAGTCCTCAAAGTAATTTAAAATAATTAATTACTATTTATTAAGTATTTTATGAAATTAGTAAAATATTTAAATACTAAGTATTTACTAAAGAAATAATAATTAGAACATAATTACTAATTAAAGTAATTAAAAAAGGCTATACGTAAAAACCATTTTGTGAAGTATAACCGTGCATTTTAATTCTTGTATATTTAAAGAGCATAGCCGCGTGACTACTTATTTTTCTTACACGAGACATGACTCAGAAAAGAAACAACAATTATACATCCATTTTCACAAACCTTACACCATTAAAGCACAACGAAATACAAACCTCCTGTAATTATCTTATTTGATATGAGATCGTTTCTTATGCATCGTTCAGTACAGTATACACTGATTGGGGATTTTGATCTCATCTCTATTAATAGAGCACTGGACTCTTTTCTTTGCTTTCTTGAAACACTAGAACATTTTCCCGATACCATCGCTCCGGGGAACAGATTCTTGGAAAAGCACCTGCCACAAGCAACAACAATATCATCAAACTTTACTTTGTCGGTCCCACTCTGAAGCTGCTCCTCAATCTCTCAAATTGCTTCAATATACCCCCTGAATATTAAAAAAAAAATTTACGCAAATGTGATAATATCAACAAAAAAGAAATGGAAGCCGTCATAATCAACTTTGAACAGGAAACTGAAACCTCACAACCCTCACCTCTCCCTTCTCCCTTCTCATTTTGAAGACCCCAACCATTAGGTTTATACCATATGAAAAGAGTTATGATGGATTAAAGTGAAGAACAGGTACCAGATACCATATTTCCAATACAGATTAGAGCTTTAAAAAGTCAAGAAAACTAGAAAACTTGGGGTTGGAAAATAGGAAATACTTCTCATTTCCACTGTGAAGCAAAGAAATTGCATCAAATTCTAGGAACCCAAAATGAATACTTATAAAATATATGGCAGATAGAAAGGAGATAGAGGGAAATATACAGCAGTTAAAGTGCACAGAAACAAATTATTATTAAACAGACAGTTTATGCACATTTCAATAGAAAGGCAAACCAATCTCACCAGGTTCCTAGGGAGTTTGATCCACCAACAGGAATAACATATGGCCTTCTTCCTTCTTTTAGCAGTCTTTCCTTTAAGAGATTAGTAAGAGCCTGAGACCAAATTGAATATAAAAACCCAAATCACGAGAGATTTAGCAAAGGTAATCTATAAATTCATTAGTATCAGAAATGCATGCAGTTTATAAAACTGCGTCTTAAAAGAATTACTTAGCCAGAGATCGGCGTTTCAACTTCAGACTTCAACCAGAAAGAGTAACATTGCTAAAAAGACTAAAGGAGGAACATTCAAAACGCTATAAGAAAATGTGTGTTTAATTAAAAAATACATGGTAATTCAAAGGAAAAGCAAAACTAACACACCCCACTGCCGAATTTTGCATACTCTTCTTTTGAAATTAGTTCAACATGAGCTCCAACTAGACGTTCAACAAGGAGATTGCCTGTCAGTCCAGGATCGTGGTCCACGAGAACCTGCAGTGCATCATGAGGCATTAAGCAAAGAGATGGGGAAAAAAGTGCTAAAACTGAGAGATGGAAGTTCACCTTAGAGGTACGTAGAATGAGATAACAGTCAAGATTGAGATACTTGGCAGCCACTGCAGTTGCACGACAGTGGCTACTTTGGATGCCCCCTATCGTTATGATACAATCAGCACCCTTTGCTACGGTATCCGCCATCAAGAATTCCAATTTTCTGACTTTGTTACCACTCAGTTGCATTCCCGAAAGATCATCACGCTAGATATTTGCAAATATTTCTGTCAGTGTAAACCAGGAAAGTGAAAACACAAAACCAAAGCAACAATTCAACGACTTAAAGCTTATTGATGGTTTAAAAAAGAGAAATTGCATACGAAATTTTACTACTTTACATTTAAAGGTCTCAACTTTTGATTAAGTGGAAGTTTCAGAATTGATCAGTCTATAAGGGGACTCAACAAGTAACAGACACAGTCGACAATGCCAAACATTTGACAAAACCCAAATGGGATTTTTGGGATTTTTCTATATGAAAGCAAATATAAGTGAGGAGAAAGAGAAAACATAAGAGAAAAATGAGAGAGGAAAATACCTTCAACCAGAATTCAGTATTGGTGGGCAAATTAGGAAGATTCCATTTGTGAATTGGAGTGGGAAGCTTCATCTTCAACAGCTTGAGGTACTTTGCCTGTATTTCTGTTGATAGTGTAAAGTGTTTAAATCTTGAATACATTAAAACCTTTTTGTATCAGACCATCATTAACTGCTTTATATTGTGTGCTAATGATATGGACAGGCACAGTAAAAGATGCATTGTGCCCTTCAAAGAACTGACTAGTTTTCTCTGCCATTTACAGGATTGTGAAGTGCCTTATGTCACAGGGAGGAACTCTGATCGTAGGTAAAAATGTTGTTTCAATTGTCATCGCCTAATCGATTGTTTCTCACAGCTCTATGGTGAAACTAATCCAATAGATTTAGTTCACGTGTGTTTCTGTCTTGTGATTAATTGTTAAGTACGTATGTTTATACCACTGTTTCTTCGATGGTTTTGCATATCTCGATTACACTCTATAGGCTTGTTTCACCATAGAGCTGTGAGTAACAGGTGAGCTGTTACAGTGATATGTATACCAAAGGTTACTCTGATATGCATGACTCCTTCGTTTTGGATTCAATTCCAATTGGTTCAAACAGTGGTGATGGTGATAGTGCTAATGCTGGTCATGATGAAAAACATGCTGAGAAGGAAATTTTCAAGATAGATATTTCTAAACCTCCTGGTTTGAGTTCCGAGAAGGGACGTTTTTCTTGTCAAAGATTTTTAAATGATGTTGTAGGCAATTATGATCACATTGAGGAAGCAAGGCATGGTATTCAGGGTTGTCGCAGTAATGACATGCAATTGGTTGTGCCTAACAAGAGAAGTAAACAAAACAAAGTAAGCACTGCGAACTGCAAATGTCTCTAAATTTGGAAGTAATGGAAATCTGCATATTCACTACAAACAAAACAAATTAATTTTGTCCATCAATTGATGATTCTGACTATAAGGATGACAATTCAACTTCCTGATTGTCAGGATGGTATACCACAAAGGCGCCATCGCTTGAGAAGGAACCAGGATTAAAACAAGTGATTCCTGTGTATTTGAAAGCCTTTTGCTCGCTTCTGTCACCTAAAACTATCTGCACATGAAAATCAAAGGTCTGTCAAGACTTATTAATGACTTAATGATTTATGACAGTCCAAGTGTCTTCTAAAGTTTCAGTTTTAGTAGATAGGAATTGCTTTGTAAAACACCACTCCTTATCATGGAGGAACTCCACGGGAGAAGGGAGGTGAAATGGACAAGAAATGGATATCAGTATTACCGTATGTGGAGTTGGATAGAGGTACAGGGAGTGATCATAATTCCAGATAATCGGTTGTACAATAAGAGGGAGAGGGCAGAGATGACATTGATGGGTTATGGTAGCAACCAGCTGTGACAAAAAAATGAGAACCCGTTAGTTTTCTTAGTAATTATGCACCAATTAACAAGATATTAAGAATATATGTACATGTATATATTATAGAGAGAGAGAGAGAGAGAGAGATCACATGCTCAAAGTCATCGGTAGTTTCTTCTGTAGAAGGGGGCATCAGACATGAACGGCGCATTCTGTACAGCAGATCCTGACGGAAGAATACCACCTCTTGGCTACAGAACTTCATTCTGCATTCAAGTATGGCAAGTCATTGATCAGAAAGCCAACTGAAACTACAACCAGAGAAGACGCACTTTGCACTCATGAATCCCAATGTGCAAGGTGAGAAGTAAGCTCTTTTGTCTTAGAATTCATAAAATGTGAATCTAAATACACCAGAGTGTGCAGTTATCTGCAATAAAATACTTATCTCATCATTTATACATCAACTCATCAGTGATCAGAAAAACATACCTACAAGGATTACTTGAAAATATGGCATTTGGAATGTGATTTTGAAGCTCTTCTCTTAAATATTTTGGTAAAGAAGGCCTTGGTAGAACAGTTGAAGGGCCTGAAATTGTCAAAAAGCAGAGAGTACTAAAGCAAGTGTGATATACCCGAACTATAGGCCCATTTTTTAAGAAACATATTCTTTCTTTGGAGAAGCATGTTAAAGCAAGTGTGATATACCTGCATCATCGGGACCTGGGATAAATAGAAAACAACTACCCTCTTTTAGCCGTGGATGGGCAGCAATCATTTGCCCTAGCTTGCCAAACTGCGACCTGCACATCCAGTTTGTTCACTATTACTGTTAATTATTAAAGAAAGAAAAGACTGTTTTCAGTCAACAAAATAAATCTTAGCAAAATATTTCTCACCTGAGATTGGAGAAGGAGTGGAAACCAAGATTACATGGATGAGAACAAAAATTCCCCATGAGTACAAATAAGCACGGTACAAAGTCCTCATTCTCAAAAGCATCTAGGACTCTCTCCAGCTTTCCCACAGCCTTCTCAAATAAGAAAAGAACTATCAATTAATGTCAAGTACAGTACTCTGAGAAACAAAAGAAGTTATAACCATCTTTACAAGAGAAAGAAGAATAACCTCTTCATTGTCTAGCCAAATGTCAGACAGTATGACAACATTCCCATTAACTGCTTCTCTTTCCAACTTTGCAAGTCTGAGCTGTTTGAAGTGTATAGGAAACTATACATTCATAATAATTGGCTAGTCTATAAAGTTGAACAATTAGACAATTTTGAATATCACCAAAAAGCAAGTTTAGGATACCGTCTCCTGTTCTGTTAGTGTACCACTACCAAAAGAGTCATGTCCTGCAAGAAATTGGAGTGACTTATCTCTGCCCTCAAGCGGAGGAAATCCGCAATTAAACACCTTCACAAAAAGTAAGTGTTAGCATCTCTTTAAAGATTAACTTCATAAATTTAATGTTTACAACTCATACATATACATTGATCCAAAGTTAGGAACCTGATCCCTGATGCAATCTCATGGCAAGTAACTTCACTTGATTTACTTTTTATATATACTGATTTGCTCTGGATTAGCTAAAGGGATTAACATATTATGAATTTATGATATATTGATCCAACCTCATATTAAGAGTAGTAAAAGGATGTGCAATTTCTTTTTAAGAGTAAAGAGAATAAAAGAACGTTAGCTAACCTGAAAGACACCCTCTAAGAGCATCTCGCCTTCTGCAACAACTATTGTGTTTTCTACAAAAAATCCTGCAGTTATCTTGTATATATTGTCAAGGAAAATGATGATTTCATGCTTTTGATTTGACTGAACCTCAACTCTAGCCTTTATGAGTTCAGGCATAGCCATAACCTCCCACACCCATGAGCCATTATCATAAAGACAAGGAATCAATGCATTTCATCAAATGACAAAACACCAGTTAGTTGCTCTGTATTAGATGCAAACAGAACAGCCCAAAGGTCAAGCGTCAAGTGTGAAGTTATAAATGATGAGTGTGTAAAGGATATTGCATTGGATAAGTTGATTTCGACAGAAGCAGAAAGGTCTTCCAAATAAAAATGGCCATCCTCCAACTGAGATATCAGACCCATCACCCATCTCCTTCCAGTTTGCCCAATCAGAGACTGAATTGGAGATATCTGACCACCATACCATACAGGAATTTATTTAATTGAACTTTGGCATTTAGGAAAGAAACCCAACTAGATTTCGTCGAATAAAGACAATGTGAGTACCAACCTCACAGCGTCCGAAATCTGACAATTCAGAATCAAAGGCTGGTTTGGAAAAATCCTTATGGCGAGAGAGCATCTGGGAGAGCAAGAGAAACCTATCCTTATACAGAGCTGCTTTCGAAAATGCATCACCATGAATGGGTAGGCTCCCAGTATGCCTAAAAAGTTCCTCCAAAAAAAAAAAGCATTTTCAATAAATTTAAACTACTCACTATAAAGAATTAAGTGGTTGGCAAAAATTGAAACATACTTGTAAAAAACCTTCTTGATGGGATCATATCGGAACTTTGGGACCTTGGAGGCATCAATTATGAGCAAATCAGAGGCTCTTATAACATCATCACCATCGCCGTCGGGGGTTTCGTTGATGGCCGCATCAGCACCCAATATACGGGTAGCAATGCGGTGCACCGTCTCCTTGTCTTTTACTGCCACCCCAAGAAAAAGAAGAAAAAGAAACAAGCTTTACTTTAAGGAAAAAGAAGAACAAGATGAAAATGATTGACTTGTGAACAAATAATAAGACACAAAAGAAATGGGGGGAATTACTGGGCTGGGTCGCGAGGAGGTCAAGGAGGATATCGACGGGATCGTCCAAAGCAGAGTCGTTGTAGAATTCGGATTCAAAGGAGAGGATCTCGTCGACGGCGTCCAATTCAAGCGTGTAGCCTCTGATCTTGCACTTCTTCAGCACCATCTTCCTCGTGGAGCTGCTCATCTCTCTCTGTGGGTTCCGTTTGCTAACCTAGGCTTTTCGCCGTTGCTTTTGTTAAAATCTGGGTAACATGGACAACAAACTTGTGAGATTTGTCAATGGAATCGTTTGAAGATTTTATTTATGGGAAAACGATTACAATATGGCGACAATATTATTACGAAAGAAATGTAAAATTATGAAATCAATCTATTGGCTGAGAGTGTTGAGAAATGTAAAAATATAATTTCAAGCACTCAAATTTTTCAAAACTTGATGTATGTTAAAACAACTGCTAGGGCAGAACTGCAGATAGACTAATGTCAACCCTAGTCAAGTGCATTTATAAGCATAGCTAATTGAAGCCTATACGAAAAGGCTTTCAGCAGCCAAGCTAAGCATAAACAGCATATGTCAAAGAGGATAATGCACACCAAAAAAGCCAGAGATGCTTGATAAAGTTAAAAATCAGAAGTGGGTTAAGGTAGGCTCAAATGTAGATATAGTAAATCCTCCAATCCAAAATGCACACATATTTTGGGAAATTAGTCACTAACTTCTTACAAGTGAGAAACTTCTGTGGCCCTCTTCTTGCCCAAGATAAAGCTCACCAGTAAATCCTCCAATCCGAACAAAAATGACGCACAGAGACCCTAAACGCAGCGAGCGCATTCAGGGGCTGCGATAATTTGACCAAATTGAAACAAGGGGTCCCTAGAAATGGCACCAGGTGATAAGACGAAGATGCAGAGAGCATATAAGTTCGAACATGAGATATAGGTTCAATCGGGGATCTCACATATCCAAAGATATTAGCATTAGAGCAGCAGAGGGTTAAGGAATGATTCTTGAAAGGGAATAAATTGATGAAATATGGGCCTCGCGTCGAAGCAATTGAAGTTTTGAGATACTGGTTCAGCATTTTGTTCAACGGTAGAAATGGTTTTCTAATCTAAAAGAACTATTTGAGAAAGTAAAAGGGAGAGGACAAGGATTACCAGGCACGATGACAACTCTGCGACTTGTTCCCCCCTTACACGCTGGATGAGGCTCCGGGTACTGAGTAAGTTGGAAAATGATAAACCCAAATACCCAATACCAATTTTTGAGAGAGAGGGAGAGGAGCGGGAAAAATTTGCAGAGAAACGGAGAGAGTCACTCTCAGTCGAGAAAAGGGGAAACCAACATGAAGAAGAGACTGAGAGAGAGAGAGAGAGAGAGAGAGAGAGAGAGAGTGAAAGCTCTAAGTGGGGCCTGGGCATTTTGGGCTGGGAGCCCAACATTAACAAATGTATTTTTAAGCCCACAAGACAAGGACCAAGTGAAGGCCGATTCTATAGTGAGTGGAAACTTATAAGTGTTAAGTTATAAGGGGTTCACTTTATAGCCATCAGATCAATCTAAGGGCTAGGGAGAATTGAGATAAAGTTTTGCAATCGGGTAGGTGAGGAACCCAAACCCGAATTTAATATCCAGCATTGAAGTTGGTTCGAAAAATTAAAAAAAGAGGCAAGTTTGAAGTTTGAACAGAAAAAACCCATCGCTCTAAAACCCATAGCTCTGAGAAACCGCTAAGCTCTGAGAAAAGGTTGAAGGCAACTGTTAATCACGGTTGAAGGCAACGGTAAACGATGGTTGAAGGCAACGGTTGAACGCAACTCCTTTCTCTAAACCCTTAAAAAGTATTTATTTTGAGTGGAAGGGGCAAAGGCGTGGATTCCGAAACAGTGAAGAGGCGAAGCAGTGGAAGGGGAAGGAGAGAATCCGTAGTCGTTGGAAGTGATAGGTTCCATTTGTGTTGCAAAGCCGCACAAAGACCCCGCACAGACACCTTGCGATTGTTCAATAACCAGCATTTGGTGAGTAATTTATGGAATTTGTGTTTAGGGTTAGAGTAAAGGTTTTCCCCAATTTGTACCATCAATGTTGTTGGATTTGGCATCTCTTCCTTGTGCTTCACTTGCATGTTAATTTTTGCTTGTGTATATGTTAAAAAATGAATGAAAATCAAGTCAATAACATATCAATAACATATCAATAACATATCAATAACATATCAATAACATATCAATAACATATCAATAACATATCAATAACATATCAATAACATATCAATAACATATCAATAACATATCAATAACATATCAATAACATATCAATAACATATCAATAACATATCAATAACATATCAATAACATATCAATAACATATCAATAACATATCAATAACATATCAATAACATATCAATAACATATCAATAACATATCAATAACATATCAATAACATATCAATAACATATCAATAACATATCAATAACATATCAATAACATATCAATAACATATCAATAACATATCAATAACATATCAATAACATATCAATAACATATCAATAACATATCAATAACATATCAATAACATATCAATAACATATCAATAACATATCAATAACATATCAATAACATATCAATAACATATCAATAACATATCAATAACATATCAATAACATATCAATAACATATCAATAATGATATGAATAAGATAATGGTGTTGAATTGGAGGAGACCCTCAAGTCAATAACATGTTAATAACATGTCAATAACATATCTCTGGCGCTAGAATATATATATTTTTTGAAATAAATATTATTTCCCTTGTTGCTAAATTTGCCTGTGAAAAATGAGAAGATATAATAATAAAGTCATGAATAAAAGTGCAAAGCATTTGAAATGAAGGTTGATCCATGATCATAGTAGCTCACTGAAGAAAAAGCTAGAAAGAAAGAAGGATGTGGCAATGGCTTAGCAAGCAGATAGCAGAGCAAATTCTTTGCTTTGCTTCCTTCCACTATCTTTCTTATTTATTTATTTATTTTGTGTTGTGTATGAGATGACAATAATTGTCATGTGTGTGAAGTGCAGAACTTGCCTAGATTGCACTCACACTCACTCATGCATCAACCATTGATTGGAGTTTGTATCCAAAAATAAAACACATACTATTGGTTGTAATTCACAGAATCATTGCATTAACAGGTATTTGCACAAAATTTGTCATATTGCTTTGATGATGTTAAAGGCTGTGATCAGTAATCCCTATGCGCATGTACTTCATAAAATTTGTAATGTGCCTGGTTGACTAGTTATGTAAATACTAAATACCAATATGATTGTGCAAATACGTGGTGGTAGTATATGTGTTAACGTTATTTCATCTTGTATTTTAGGAAATGGGATCCAACGTGCAGCTGGTATGGCCAGAGTCAGAGGCATATGCGTCACGGGTGAACAACTGCTCACATGCAAATTCAACCCTAACTGCAATTCGAGCGAAGTTGAGTGCGGAACAATTAGAACAATTCAAGACATCATGCTTTGGCCATCTTCTGAATATAGACAAGATTCAGTTTAGCGGGCAAATTGTGCATGGAGTTGTGTTGCGTCGAGTCGCGGGGCAGGGTGTGAAAGACTTGGATGGACTGAGTTTCTTAATAGGGTGCGACGTTGCTCAGTTTACTCGTCAAGATTTCTGTTTGATCTCGGGGCTTCGTTTTGAGGAAGTGCCTGAAGTTTCCAGTGGAGAAAGTGCTGAAATTAGACTTCAGAAAAGATATTTTATAGACGAAGGAATTACATGCAATGCTTTAGAAGAAGCATTTATGAGGTGCAAAGAGAGAGATGACGGCTACAAGCTAGCTCTTGTTTACTTTGCTGAGTTAGTGGTTTTGGGAAGGGACAAGCATTTGAACATCAATGTAAATTACCTGACCCTTGTAGAGGACTTGGATGCGTTCAACAGGTATCCGTGGGGTTCGGTGTCGTTTGACAAAACCCAAGACAGTCTATTTTCTGCACCAACAAAGTATATGAAAAGCTTTGAAAATGAAGAGGGAAGAGAGAAGGGGAAAAGTAAGGTAACGGGAACAAGCCGGAAAAATGAGAAGGGCAAGAAGCATAAGCATGGTGAAGTGCAAAGGGGTGGGTGGAGTTTTAAAGGTTTCACGTATGCTTTCCAGGTACATGGTAATAATGTTCATGTCAGTTATGCTTTGTGAACTTTAAAACTTAAATAATGACTTTTGTCCTGTGAATTGTGTAGATTTGGGTATATGAATTAATTCCTAGAATGGTGGACCTGAATTACTGCAAGGTTGTTGATCCAACAGCTGTCCCGCGTATTTTGCGATGGAGAACGACTACGTCTATGCCCGAGATGAGGAAGTTGAACAATTATTTTTTCCAGAGCAAAGAGGTTTGGTTTGCAGCCCTTGAAACTATTTATAAGATTCAATGAAATTATTAAGTAGAATGATTGAATATGAATATTGTCTGTATTCTGAAACAGTCAGTTCAGTTGCGGGCGCTACGTCCGAGTGAAGAGCAAATGAGACAATCATATTGGAGTTGGCCACAGGATCGCCCTGCTGTTGTCTCGGCAGAGTCAAATCCTTCTTCATGTGCTGATCTTGATGAGTTGAACAAGCTGGTAAGCTTGTTGAGGTCCGAGTTGTTTCAAGTAAAGCGGGAAAATGACGTCCTTGAGTTAAAGGTCATACGGATGGAAAAAACTTTTGGACCACTGTTTAGGTCCTCAGTTTGAGCAAGAAGTAAGGAGGGACCTAGCTTTATTGAAAGAGAGGACGAATCGTTGTGCCATCTCACATATATTTACGGGATCTGACGAAATGGATGATAGTGAATGGGATGAAGGGCCAAGTAACAGATATGAGGGAGAGGAAAAGGACGAGGAGGGAATTGAAGGGGGTGAAGTGCAAAGAAAACCAAGTGAGGTAGAGGAAGCGCAAAGGAAAAGAAAAGAGGGAGAGCAAGTGAAAATAAAAAGCAGCAAGGGAGAGGAAGCGCAAAGAAAGAGCAGTGAGGGAGAGGAAGTGAAAAGAAAAAACAGTGAGGGAGAGGAACTGCAAAGAAAAAGCAGTGACGGAGGGGAACTGCAAAGAAAAAGCAGTGATGGAGAGGATCCGCAAAGAAAAAGAAGGGAGGGCAAGGAAGTGAAAAGTAAAAAAAGTGAGGAAAAGGAAGTGCAAATAAAGGAATGTGAGGAAGCGGATGATGAAGTTGTTTTGGTTTGTGATGACATTGGTGAGAGCACGGCGGGGACAACTGTTGAGTTTAATCTCGGGGATATTGATTTGGATCAACCTACAGCTGTGCTATCTGAGTTGAACGTTTGGTTGAATGATAAAGGTAAAGCTGTGGAACAAGGGGTCCAATTACGAAAGAGAAAGAGGATTATTCCTATGTGGAAGATCATTGAAGCTAGTGAATTGGTGAAAAAACCTGTGCCAGAGACAGCCCGACTTTGGATGTTAGACCCAATGAAGGCGATTCCGCATGATGATATGGTGAAATTGCTGAAACTTTGTTGGGAATGGCGCCTTAACCCAAAGTAAGTCCCTTGTTTTTTGAGATAGAAGGCATTAGTGTATATATTTTTAAATTGTTGTGATCTAAAATTTTGTTATATTCACAGTTTAGTGATGCAATTTGGCCACGTGGAAGCTGAGATTGAATTCTTCGCTTCCCTCGTAAAAGCTGACGATTGGCTGATAGGAGATGTAAGTTTAATTGATTATGCATTTGTTTTAATGTACATAGATTATGAGATTGACTAGAAAAACATGTGCAGCACATTGATTTGGGGTTGTATCTCATCCGGAAGCGACAACAAGATTTGGAGGTTGTAGAAATATCGAACTGGACAACGACCGATGTATTTTTCATGGTATGTCATAGGGCTTGACCAAGTGCAGTTAATAATTACAAATTATCCATACTTGCTTTGTGGAGGTGTTTAACCATTGATTGTTTTCTATTTCACAGAATCACATCCATACTTGCTTTGCGGATAATAAAAGAAAGAAAGAGTAGGCTGGGTGGAAAATTAGAAACAGTTTAGTGAACGTTGTAAATGGCAAGGTTCCGGTGTGTGGGGTGGATTGGCAGAACGTGTATAAGGTGTATGCCCCTTGT